TGTCCCCCCCCATGTCCTGAACGCCCCCGTGTCACCCCAAATTCTCCATGTCCCCATCCCGGTGTCCCCGGTGTCCCCCTGCTCCCCCCCCGGTGCTGTCCCCGCCGTGTCCCCGTGTCCCCATCCCGGTGTCCCCCGATGTCCCCGGTGTCCCCCGTGCCCCCCCCGGTGCTGTCCCCGCGGTGTCCCCGTGTCCCCATCCCGGTGTCCCCATCCCGGTGTCCCCATCCCGGTGTTCCCGGTGTCCCCCGATGTCCCCGGTGCCCCCCGTGCCCCCCCGGTGCTGTCCCCGCGGTGTCCCCGGGCCGGGGCGGGGGCTCCCCGTTATTTCCCAAGCGGCGCCCGCCCGACCGGCTCCGGCTGCGGCGCGGCCCGGCCCGACCGGCGGAACCGGTCCCGGGACACCGCGGGGCGGGACGGGGGACGCGCAGCGGGGCGGCACCGCCGGGACCGGCACGGCACGGCCGCACCGGCACCGGACAGAGCCGGGACAGCACCGGGACAGCAACGGGACCGGGACAGCAACGGGACCGGGACAGAGCCGGGACAGCACCGGGACAGCAACGGGACCGGGACAGGACAGGAACCGGGACTGGGACAGCACCGGGACAGCACTGCCGGGACTGGGACAGCACCGGGGGATAACAGAGCCGGGACCGGGATAACAGAACTGGGACCGGGACATTCGGGATTGCACAGCCGGGACCGGGATAACAGAGCCGGGACCGGCACCAGCACAGCACAATCGGGACAGCACCGGGACAGAACCGGGATAGAACTGGGACAGAACCGGGACAGTACCGGGACAGAACCGGGATAGAACTGGGACAGAACCGGGACAGTACCGGGACAGAACCAGGACAGAACCAGCACAACACAACCGGGACAGCACCGGGACAACGCCGGGACAGCCCCGGGACAGAACCGGGACAGAACCAGGACAGAACCGGGACAGAACCAGCACAGCACAACCGGGACAGCACCGGGACAGCACCGGGACAGAACCGGGACAGAACCGGGATAGAACTGGGACAGCCCCGGGACAGAACCGGGACAGCACCGGGACAGAACCGGGACAGAACCGGGACAAAACCGGGGTCAGCCAGGGCTCGGGCTGGGCCGGTGCTCGGGGATGGATTGAGGGACCGGATCCGGCACCGGAATTGCTCCAATCCCTGGGATCTGAACCCGAATCTGGGATCCTCCGGAGCGCCGGGATCCAGTGGGATCGGGGATCCAGCGCTGGGATTCACCAGGGATTTGGGATCCAGCGCCAAACCCGAGCTGGGATCTGGGATCGGGCGCTGAAATCAACCGAACACTCGGGATCTGGCATCAAAATCAACCGAGGATCTGGGATTTGGTGTGGATATTGACTCGGGATCCGGGATCAAAACTGACCCAGGATCTGGGATCCAGCACCAAAACTGACCCAGGATCTGGGATCCAGCACCAAAACTGACCCAGGATCTGGGATCCAGCACCAAAACTGACCCAGGATCTGGGATCGGCTGCGGGAATTGACCAAACTCTCCGGATCCGGGATCAAACTCAGCCCGCGGATCCGGGAATCCAGCGCCGGAGATCCGAGCTCCAGCCCCGCCGGGAGCCGGGAATCGGCACCGAACCCCCCCGGGGGTGGGAGCGGGGATCCCGCGGGGGATCCATCGGGATCCATCGGGTCGGGATCCGGGGGGATCCGGCGGGATCCGGCCATGCCGCGCGCGTTCCTGGTGAAGAAGCCGGTGGTGGCCACGGCCAAGCGCAACTGGAGCGAACTCCCGGACGAGCAGCGGGCGGAGATCTACGTGCCCAGTACGGGGGGGACGGGATTTGGGGGCGCGCGGGGGTTTTTGGGGGGGCCGGGATCCATTGGGAGCCGGGATTTGAGGGGGTTCAGGGATCTGGGGCGGTCCAGAGGGATCCTGGAATTTGGGGGGACTCAGGAGTCCCTTGGGATTCAGCTGCTGGGGGGGACCCAGAGGTCTGGGGGGGGGTCTCGGGAATTTGGGGGTTCGGGGGGAGATGGAAATTTTTGGCCTCAGGGTTTGGGGGCACCACGAGGTTTGGGGGTCGCAGGAATTTGGGGGGTTCGGGGTTTTGGAGGGACCCAGGAGTGCGGGAGGACAGCGGAATTTGGGGGATCCTGGAGTTCCGGGATTTTGGAGGGATCCCGGGTTTTGGGGTGACCTCCCCCCCTCCAGGGGTGTCCCCTTAATGACAGAGCTGGGGTTCAGCCCCAAAATCCCACCCAGACACCGGGGACGGGGGGTTTGGGAGGATTTTTGGGGTGCTCGGACACTCAGGAGGGTTTGGGAAGGATTTTTTTGGGTGTTTGGACACCCAGGAGGGTTTGGGGAGGATTTTTGGGGTGCCGGGACACCCAGGAGGGTTTGGGGAGGATTTTTGGGGTGCCGGGATGCCTTTGCGGGGTGTTTTGGGGGGGATTTTGGGGGGATTTTGGGCCACCCGCCTG